TAGCTATATTACTAATTTCCCTTAATTTTTTTTTTCTAGTACTAGGGGTCAAATTCAGGACTTTGTACTTGCCAGACAGGTGCTTATGCTGTTGAGCTATATCCCCAGCTCCATTTGTGCTGATGTTGATTGGTCAATTTTTTATGACTCTATCCTGTACTCTAAGCAACCATTGTTAATTTCCTATCATGTCTTTTTGAAATTTTGTTTCATTGCTTCTATTGTGTTTTTCTCTTTAGAAAGAAAAAGCTTGGGCTAAGTTCCTGGACTGTTACACTTCCTTTAAACACATCAGTGAACTCAGAAACCAGAACCAGAGGAAGCAGTTCTTTGAGAAGGTTAATACTTAGGTTTCATTGCCAAATGGCTTGTCCAACATGGGTCCATTTCTTAAGTAACTGACTGCAATTTCTTACTGGCCCTTGGAAGTAAACAATAGAGAAGTCTCTTGGTGTGGGGAAAGATACTGTCAGCAAATTGTTTGGAAAAAATGAACATTTAAAGATAAGTTGGGAAATAGATCCATGGGACTCTACCTTCCTATCTTGAAGATGACTGCCTTGTCCCAGGGCTTTCTCTGTCTACAGTAAAAAGGCTGAGAGTGGGGTCTTTTGTGAAGTCATAATTACACTGCTTCTAAAGGTTGTAGAATCAAAGACTTTTCAGTCTTAAAAGACTTTCATTCTAACAATTCATCTGATTTTCATATCTCCACTATCATTTCACTATCGTGATTGATTTCCTGTATCTCAAAACAAAACAAAACAAAATAAAAAACAAAAAAACCCACAAATCTTTAACCAACCAACAGCAGTCTCCCTGAAACTTTTACCCAATAGACCAAACAGAATAAATCTAATGCTGCTTCCAGAGTCCTTCAACTTTTTGATGCAATCCATTATTTTCCTTCCAAGCTATGTTTCTTCCCAGCTAAACATTCCCAATATTTTGAACGTTTCTTCCTATAACATAGTTTTGAGTTCCTTTATTCTCCTGATTTATCTCACTTGAGAAAATTGCAATTTATATTTTTCCTAATGTGCAACAATCTGAAATGAAAACAATGTCAAGTGTAGCAATTGCATGATTCTGACCCCATTGAAGTGTCTATTCAAAAGTCATTATTTCTGCTGAGAGCCTTCCCTAACCCATGATCCAAAACTGCCACTCACAAGCTATCCTTTTATTCTGCTTTGTCACAGCACCTGTCACATTATATATTACTGTGTGACTGTTTGATTAGGGCTTGTCTGTCTTACTAAAATTGCATTTCATTAAACCAAAGACTCAGTTATGAGGATGTTAGTATATCCCTAACAGTGTCTGGCACATAGTAGGTGCTAAACTTGTATTATTTGAATAAATGAGCAAACTACTGATTGACCTATTGAGCTTTTTGCTTCAGAAATTGGAAACCTTTTTAAAAATACTTGCTGGTGCTGAATCATAATTTCTTAATTCTGAACTAATTCTCTTTAATTTGTACTAGTTGTAGTAAAATCTTTTCAAGTTACCTCAACTAAAAAGGTGTTTTAATGAAAGAGTTCATATGCCTAGTGACCCAGCCCCAAAAAGAACAAAAACCTTAGAAGAAGTGAACTTCATAGCAGAAAACCAGAGACTGAAAAATTTAGAATAAAAAATGGAACTATATAAGAATGACTGCCCTGACCCAAACATATCACCATTACTAAAATGTCACTAAGTTTTTTCCTGTCTGCTTCCTTGTCTACCTCTTACCTTGTCCCTTGTATGCATTCTACTTCCCAAAACTTCGACCTATTCATCTCCTCCATTCATGGCTCCTACACTGTCCTTCCACATGACTTAATTCTTTTATGGCCTCACTCTGTGTGCCTTAAGTTCAATTTTCTCTCCCACTGCTTTGACCTTTTCATTTTCTAATTCAGGTGTCTTGCAGCAAAAATCTGATTAACCCAAGAATTTCAGTTGTTGGTATGTAGGTTGGCTTTTGTTCTGACTTGTTTTTGATTTGGATCAGAGAATACTAATCTATCCCATAGGTCACTAACCAGCAGAGAGATTGGGATGATATCATGCAAAATAGGGCCCCTTAAACCATTTCTGTGGGAGACTGAATAGGGCAGTGTTACTTAGAAGGGACTGTGGGTGTAAGAGTCATCTTAGATTTTGCAGCTTGCCTGCTGGCACCCATGCTGTTTTTTACGCATGCACCTGTACATGCAAAAATAATGCTTATCTTGCTTGGCCTAAAGTCCCAACTACTCGTGAGGCTGAGGCAAAATGGTTGCAATTTCGAGGCCAGCCTGGGCAATTTAGCAAAACTCTATCTTTAAATAAATAAGTAGTAAGTAGGATTTAGGATGTACCTCAGTGGTAGAGTGCTTGGCTAGCATTGCAGAGCCCTGTGATCAGCATTTAGCACAAAATAAAAAGGGAAGAGAGAAGTGTTTTTCTGGTACAGGGGAATACTGTCTTTCTCAGCAAGCAAAAGGAGGGGACGCAGCATGAATATTGAAAAGCCTTTTTTTTTTTTTTTTTTTCAGAACCAGGAATTGAACTCAGGCCCTTGCACTTGCCAGGCAAGCACTTATTCTACTGAGCCATCTCCCTGGTCCCTGAAAAGCCTTTGTAAATACTGTCCATTCCAGTGTTTCATAATCAATCAGAGCTTGATTCTGTCTACTAATACAATTTAACTGGCCACACTTAACTGAATGCCACTGTGTGCTTAGGTTCTATACCCAGTCTGGAGGGATCACAAAGGACTAGCTGTTGGGAGAAAGCTTTTAGCCCCCAGGTTGCAGATTAAGCCTTGTATTTTTTTCTGTATGTTGAGCCAAGCATCCCTCGCCTGGTGTTTGTTTCTTCCTCAGTGCATGTTATATATGGACTTTCATGATAAATGACAGTGAACTTACCATCAAAGGGCACAAATGCTGAGATCCAAGAGACTACAGACAACAAATTTGTTAATTCCTTTTGTCCCACATACCATCAGATAGTAGCATTTTTTTGTTTGTGTTTTGCAGAACCAGGGATTGAACTCAGGCCCTTGCACTTCCCAGACAAGTGCTTATTCTACTGAGCTATCTCCCCAGCCCTTGTACTATTACTTATTTGATTTCTTTTTGTCAGATTGGACCCTTCCTCAAGGCTATCAACATCTTGCCTGATATTCCTAGCTATCTCTTAAATCAATGCTTGACTTGCTGTATTATTGACTTAGTTCAAATCTTAAGTACCTTTCAGGTTGACTATTATAGTAATAGCATAACTAATCTTTCTGGTTTTTGTTTCTTCCACAACTAATGTGCCTTCCTTCAATTTGCAAAATGCTCTCTCTGAAACACAAATTTGATTGTACCCTTTTATCTCCTGCCATTTACTCTCTCATCTCCCTGAAAGTGCCTTGCTTTCTCGTGCTTCTATGCTTTTGCATTTCTCTGTGATTGGAACATTTCTGTATTCTTTTGTCGTGAGTCACCGCCTTGATTACTCTGTTTCTCTCCTCAGAAATACGCTCTATAGTCTACATTACTTCTATTTCTTGTGTATTCTTTGATTATTCATATACCTTGGTTTATTAGAATCACTTTTGTATAGCTAATTGATTGATCACCATTCCAAGTTCCTTCAAAATAGAAACTGTTCTGTAATCATCTTTCTATTTTGGTTCTTTGCTTACTCTATGTTCATCAGTGATTTACTGAATGGGATTTGAACATCTTTGACCTATAATGAAGTTCCACGTGTCTTTCTACTGTGATGTTCAATTCATTTTCCCCTTCTAATACCTGAAAGCAAAGCAAAGCAAACTATTACTTTTTTCCCATGTAGATATTCATTGGTGTTCCTCAATATCTGATTTGTCTTTTACTATCTTGTTCTCAATTAGACCCGAACTTGTAGATTTCCTGTTCTGAGTATTTCACAGGCCCTCTAGATTCTGTTTTGTGAATCATCTGGCCAGGAACTAGAAGGGAGAGATTGCATCCTGAGTACCATTCTCCATGGTAAGTTAGTTCCTTTCTCCTAATTCTTAGAGTTCATGATCTCGCAGTCAGGAGACTTTCCTAGGTACCATTACCTTGAACAGTAAATCACTGGGAAAGTATTTTGGAGAACTGTCCTTTTCCTGCTGGCAGAGTAAGCAGGGAGGTGGGTTGTTGGTCATAATCAGTAAGGTCATATCCTGGTCATACTCTGTTACTTTTAATGTGAAGCTAGTGATTTTCCTGTTCTGCTCCAGGACTTTCTGTAGTCTAGTGGACTTCGGAGGCTCATAGTACTGGGCCTGGGTAGATAGAAAGGTTTCAGGTGAAACAAAGCGATTAGTTCAAAAGAAGACTAGAAAATTAGTTTGTTAATCTTTCTGTAGGGTAGAGTCAGAGGCTGAGCAGGGACTGAACAAATCTGCTCTAAAATGTGTTGATCCTAAGCTCTCGAAAGCCCTCCTATTATCTTCCCTCAGGACACTTATTCCCCCAACAAATAATCTAAGAGGTTGGGGAAAAACAACAGAAAGTGCCCCACAGAAACAGAAACAAGATGCTTAATTCTTCCAAAAGTAGTGTAACACGGTGCCCAGGAGAGGAGGACAGACTAGGAAGCTGTGTAGCTCATCCTGATTGGCCTTGTCTGGACAATTGTGTCTGCAGAGAAAAGCCAGGGACCAGGCTGCTCATACCAAGCTGTTCACTAGCAGGTGCAGCAAACACCTCCCCCTTCATCTTCCCACTGCCACCTCCTCTCCACTGGCACAGCCACCTGAACAGGCAGGCGTTCATAAGCAAAGGAAAGGCAGTCACGAAGCACAGCATGTCACTTAAGGTGTGGGTGGGATGGGGCAACCCCACTACATTTGCTTTCTTCTCAATAGGAGGATTAGAGAGAGAGGAAGGGAGCAGGAGAGAATGAATTATAAAAGTTTTACTTGATTATAAACATGTTTGCTCAATTGAGAAAAATATCAGGTGCAAGAACCACTTTCTTCCCTGTTTCTACCTCACCATGTCAAACCACAGATACTGTCTCTGCTGAAGCTAGTATTGCTCTGGCTGCCTATCCTGGGGGAAGGCAAATTTGACATTAGGATGATGGTCAGTAGTGAGCCCCTGCACAGCTGGCAAAACTCACCGTTTGAGAGTTTGGGGGAATGCTTTTCCACCTACCAAATCTGGAGGGGTCGTGTAATACTGAAGGTTCTGTAGGACAAATTTTGATTGGCCAACTGCATCAAAAATCTAAAGACAATAATCACAATTAATAGTTTCATAAGGCACTGATCTTTAATAATATACCACTCCTTACTTGGATTCACTACAAAGGGGTCTCTAATGGATGCTAAGTGAGGAGAACACTGTGCGTCATGTTTTGCATCCTGGGTTTCTGGAACAAGAAGCATAGCAGAGACAGTTGTGACCTGGGACATCATCAGAGGGAAGCTTATGACCGGAAGCATGTGTCAGGCTTAGGAAATGTCAGGTAGCACTGTTAAGAGGTAAAATAGATTGGTCAGCATCAAAGTTTGGATTAAGACAAATTACTACATGAAACCACACCCCTTTCTCTGCTTTTTCCATCTCTACAGGAGGAAGATCAGGTGGTGGTAAACATAGAGGAGAGCCTTTAGGAGGAACTTAATTATAACAGCAACACCCTAAGCGGTGTGGGTGCCAGAGTGCCCTAGGTACAACTCTGCAACAGAGCTAGAAGCAGACACACTCTGAGGATAGGAGATGAGGAGACCATGGCTTTCACATTTTTGAACATCTCTGTAGAATGCAATTCTTTCAGAAGTGTTCTAAAAAGTACCTGAATTCTGTTATCACTTCTGCATGCTACTTTGCACTGTTGCACTGATGGTAATGCTGGCTCTCTGTAGATGGAGTGTCATGTCAGGTATTAGAGGAGTGAGCCTCTTCCATCTCTTTGCTGCTTGCTTTTAGCATTGTTACCTCCCATCTTACCTAGCCCCAGATTATCGAAGGATAAATCAAAGGGATAAGAACATGGAAGGTTATAGCTTTGGGCTTCACATAATCAGAAACCAGTGTGGCCAGGGGGATCATAATCCTGTGTTTGGATTGAGATTTCTAAAGATGTTATGGCTCAAAGAGATGGCATGCTAAGATAGGGTTCAGGAAAAAAGAGAGAGTCTAATGGAAGGCAAAGAAAGCGAGAAGAGGAATGAAGGCAGTAGTAAGAATGAGATGAGTCTCAGGGAGAAGAGATGATATGCTTTGGGAGGAAATTGCCAAGTTAATTGGAAATTCTTGGTCATTGAAAGAGGACTGGGGAGAGCAGGGCCACTCCACACGTTCCTTGGGGAGGCTGGGCTGAAATACAGGACAAATCCAAAGATACAATCCATTCATTTTTATTGTTTTTGAAAACTGAAGTCTACTTATTCAAAGGAAAAATATATTAAGAAAAACCTGTTTCAGAAATATGACATATATGGTATATTTACAATTAACCAGAAATCTAAGAAAATTTTTTAACTTGGGAGAAAAGGAAAGCAACCAAGATGCCCAAGGGCGTTTTGCTACAGGAGACAGCCTTGAAGACTAAGTAAGTTAAAGTTTAGCACTCCCTAAGATAGGGCACTAGTTCCTAGGCATTGTGTCCTGATTTTTAAAAGTTCAAAAAAAAATTTTATTAGTATGTGTTTAAGGTGTAGAATGATTATATTCATCATGGGAAATTATAGTTGATTTGTTGCTCATATGTCCTTGTCTCATTTTACTGTGTTTCTGTTTCTCTTTCACAATATGAGATAAATTAATCTTGTTCTGTATATAAATGTTTTAACCCACATTTGCTGTCCAGTAGAAAGTTTGTAGACCCATCTCTTTTTTTTATTTTTATTTTTTGGTGGAACCAGGAATTGAACTCAGGCCCTTGTGCTTGCCAGGGAAAGGCTTATTCTACTGAGCCATCTCCCCAACCCCAATGTAGACCCATCTCATAAAAGACTCGTAAACAACCCCAAAGCACACACAAGATTTGTTACTGTTCTTTCTTACCTCCTCATCTTCGGTGACTACTCCTTTGTCAAATTTAACTGTGCCGATTTCTGAGGTTGCATTATGTTGAAACCTGAAAAAGAGGCAGAACACCTATCTGCTGAGTTGGAGCCCTGGTCTTCTGTATGCCTCTTTCTCCTTCAACTAAGTTTAGAAGACCACAGAGGACTATGTAGTAAAGAATAGGACCTCAGTGTAAAGGTCTAAACAAGTAAGACCTCTTGGAGATATGTTGACATCTGAGCAGTTGTTTCTTCAAAAATAAGTTTTTGGTCAAAGAAGTGCTCTCAACTAGACTTGGTGGCACTCACCTGTAATTTCAGCTCTCTGGAAGGCTTGACAGGAATATCACAAGTTTTATTCCAGCCCTGACAACTTAATAACTTAGTGATACTCTATGGCAAAGTAAAAAATAGAAAAGGGCTGGGGATGTAGCTCAGTGTGCAGGCCCTGGGTTCAATCTCCAGCCCTGAAAAAAAAAGAAAAGCTCTACTAGATTGCCTATAGAAATTCTTTTGGGCAGTTAGACCCTCACAATATCCTTAAAGATCACCTACTAATTTAAATGCATACCTCCCTTCTCTTCTGATGGAAATGGCCTGTTTCATGACTGGCTAATGATTAGCCAGTGAATTCATGAGGAAGAATACAGTTCATGAAACTTCACAACTACATTTCCATTACTTATTGACCTTGCTTGGATTACTGGCTGTCTCATCTTCCTAACCACACCTAAAATTTCTCTTCCTAGAACCAAGATAATAAAAATGATCATCAATGGCAAATATTTTCCTATTCTGCTCTTTCACTTACTTTGCTATCGCCTACCTGATACTGGTTCCTTTTGAGGAAAAAAGAAAGGGTTAGAACCACAGTGTTTAAGAAAGTACTGGGGAGTCCCTGTTTCTTTGTAAACCTCCTTATGGACTGAACATAGAGGAAAATGTTCATTAGTAATTGGGTTAGTGATTAAAATAAATGACTCTCTCCCTCATTGGAGATAGTTCCATTTTGGGGTTAAATTAGCTCAAATTTGGAAGAATTCTGCAAGTACCTCAAGTACCTCAATTAAATTTTTCTCATTTAAACATAAAGATACCTGAATAAGGACCAAAATAACAAAAGTTGAAATAGCCAAACTAGGTAGTCAGTAGATCAACTATCTATAGTATGGTATATATAATTTGAAATCCAAGATCAAATCCCATTCAAGGATGATTAACTTTCATCTATTGCTATCACTTGCTCTCATCAGGTAATCATTAATTCAAGCAAAAGATTATTTGTTTGTACTGTAATGCCTTCTCACTGAGTAAGCTATACTCCTATCTCTTTTCCTCTCTCCTCCCCTCCCCTCTCTCTCCTCTCTCCTTTCTCCTTTCTCCTTTCTCCTTTCTCCTTCCTCCTTCCCCTCCCCCTCCCCTTTCCCTCTTCCTCTTCCCCCACTCCTCCCACTCCTCTCCCCTCTCCCCTCCCCCCCCCTCTGTTTTGAGATACAGTTTTATTAACTCATTAGATTTCCCAGGCCAGGCTCAAACTTATCATCCTTCTGCCTTATCTTCCTAGAGTATTGGGACTATAAGTGTGCACCACCATGCCAGCCCAGGAAATAGATCTTAAAAATTGCCCCAAGGGGAGCAGGAGACCCATTGTGGATAAATCAAAACAAACTCATCCTAAATTAACTTCTTGAAGTTTTTGCCCCTTTGATGTGTTCTATGGCTGTAAGTTATCTAATAATTAAAAATATGACATACTCTTTATAGTGGCTCCTTTAAAAATGATTCTTTGCCATCTGAAAGGCAACACAGATTCCAGATACTCTTCTTTGAGGCCAATTTAAAGCCTAGAACTACATGAAAAGTACTTCCTTAGCCTAACAGTGTTCATCTTGAACAGCTTGGTGCTTCCTTTTCATCAATATTACTCTACTTGCTGCATGAAACCCAGAGCAAGTTCTGGTTTTTGGTCTGCAATTAGTCAATTAAAATATCTTCAATGAGAGTCTACTCTGTGATAAGCACTGTTCAGAATGCTTTGGGTTATGAAGCAAGTTAGTATGTATATTTATAGCTTAAATGAGCAAACACAACTACATACTTGGTGTATTTCTTGGGGCCCATTTCTGTTCGCTGCTAATTGTGCAAGCTCAGACTCCGTGATTCTATATAGTCCACATTCTGCCAGGATTCAATTCAATCGACTCTTTCCTTAATGCACCTTATATGCCCCTCCTGGTTCTTGATCCTGTGTAGGAAGCAAGGGCAGACTGTTAGGTGATAATGTAGATTTAAAAAATGCACAAAACACACCAGCTACTCAGGAGACTAAGGCAGGAGGACCACCACATTTGAAGGTATCCTGTGCAATTTAACAAAATCCTATCTCTAAAATAAATCATTGGATAGAGAAATAAATACATTTATCAAAGTGAGTTCAGGACTCTACTTATAGGAGCACTTACTTAGCATTCATGAGGTTCTGGGTTCATTCCTCAGTACTGCCAAAAGAAAGAAAAGGGAAAAGAAAATGCACGAAACATGATGGTCCTTACAAGAAACAAAGATTATTTGGCCAGTGGGGGTGGTGGTGGGGAGAGGAGGTAATTATAAAATATGAAGTAGTAATGATAGCTACATCTTTATGTACTAGGTAAGTCATTTCATCTCAATTTCCTCATTGTTAACGGGGGGGGGGGGGCGTATTTACTAAATGACTGAGAGGTGACATTTTAATTCCACAGTAGTAGTAAAATTTACCTGTGTGAAGATTTCAAATAAAATTAATTCACATAGCAAGAACTTGAGGATTGGACAACAAGGAGAGGGCAAGGAGAAAAGCTAGAAAACAGGACAGGGACAAAGCCATACATTTATATGCACAAGATGGGCAAGGCAATGATCCTGAGAAACATCAGCAGGTTTTTGAAACTAGCAGTTAATTGGTAGGATTCTCACCCTGACTAACTATACATGCTGATACCTGTTAACCAAGCAACTGCACTGAAGATAGCAATGTGTAGTAGAAGGGTCATGCTTGGAATACCTGTCATTCTGGTCTTCTAAATACGTACTTCTTTTCATGACATACCAATTATTACCATACTGTCTCACAAGTAAAAGTTTTTTCCCCCCCAATGGGCAATAAATGAAAAAAAGACACAAGAAAAGGAAAAAAAAATGTCACAGGACTGTCCTGCTACAATGCTGTATATGATTAGATTTCTAAATTTCTTTGTAAAACTATGTAATTGTTTTTTCATATTCTTTAAATATTTTTCATTTTTTAAATTTTTATCTCCATATTCTGTTGGGACTTAATGTCTAACATATCAATACTTGATGAAAAATACCTGTTCCATGTTACGCCTAAGATGTTTGATATTCAGACAGATAGTGAGGTTAAACCCAAATACATGACATGTAGGGTAATAATAAACTTCTCTTCTGGAGGGTTAACAGCCTAAGTTTGCAGACCAAAAATTAGAGAAATAGAAGGGCTGCAAGGACAGCCAACATTTTGATCATAGCCTTTCAGGGTCAGTGAAGACTCAGGACATAGGAGAACCTATACTATAACATCATGTAACTCAGTTGTGTCCCAAATTTTCTGATCAAGGAGATTATGGGGCCACAGAGCAACATGATCGATGATGTAGGGTGTGCCTAAGGAGAGTCAATTGGAGAGAAAACATTCTCTCAGGCTTTCCCAGAGAGCAAATTGGTCAAGCAATGGCCGTGACTCATCCAGATGGCTGACACTGACAAAGGATCTGCAAACTGTGGTACAGGGTTACAGGATAAATCCTAAGGGTACTTGATTGACCTTATGTGATACAAAAGTTAACATTTCTTGTTATATAGGTCTTACTTTATCTTGGGCTTAACCATCCAGCAGAAAAGTATAAAAATGACGTATATAAAGTAAAGCCATATTAATATGCTGAGCTGTGAAAGGCTCAAGTCAACAACTTCTGTGGATAGCCCACTACTATTGTGGACTGCTAGACTGTGTTGGATTGTTTTGCTGAATTCATGCACCTATAGTATTTAGATGCCAATGGAATACCTATCTCTGACAGGACTAAACAAAAAAAGGCAATACAAAGGAAGGACCATTTTGTATGTGTATATGCAGAATAGTTAGGATAGATATGCAGCTACTTTTTCTTAATTCAATGAGAAAAAAGATTTGTACTAATAGTGTTTGGACAGGATATTCTGTCTGCATCTTGTACTATGGATAACCACTAAGAAGATAACAATGTACAATGTATTGATTATTGAAACAGTCCTATTAATCAGTTTTGAAACTGTCTCATTGGTATT